AAAAAAAAAAAAAAAAGGAAATTTTTAAACAAAAAAGATGGACGAACAAGAAAGAAGTCAAAGAAAAATAATAACCCACGTCCACATTGTATATAAACTTTAGTATATAAGAAGTTAAAAGAAGAGAAAATAAAAGACGAAGAGAAAGAAAAAGGAGAAACGATTCGAGGAATATATATATATATATTATCTTACTAATTACCGTTCGCAAGTCGTGCATTTGTATTTCGCGCGTGTTTGCTCGCGCATCTTCCCTTACCACTTTTCCGATTCCCACCTCACCTAAATTCACCATCAAATTAGATGGAATGGACACTCAACGTCATTAAAAATAATCCTCGGGTTCGGATAATAAAATCCTCATAATTGGTTGCGATATAATACAATTGTGTAAAACAATTCGTATAAACACTTTCACACTTCGAAACGTCTATGCGAGTATTCCTATTTTCGATTTTCGATTGTAAAATCGAAAATCGAATATCTTTGCTTATGAAGAATTCGAATTTCTGTAATGAAAAGAATTGGATTTCTTTTTAAATTCAATTGATCTTTTTAATTAAAGAAAAAATAAAATTAAATTCAAAGTCCGCCGTTTATTGTCATTGTTTGGTAAATTTGGTTCTTTTTTGTTTTGTTTTTAGGAGCATTGATTGTTAAGAAGGATTAATCATCGAAGAGATAAATTTTTGTAGGCGAACGCAGACTTTGAATTTAGTCGGACTCAAACAAGTAATTGCTCTTCGATATGCAATTGTAATTAAAATTAAAGAAATAATCGAAGCTAAAATAAACATTTTTTAACTGTATTCTTACATGATATGTTCTATTTTTATGGAGAAGAAAAAATGAAATTGAAGATAGGGAAATGTTACTTAGCTTGAATTATCGAACACTCACCTATGTCATTGTTTTCTAATAAAAATTCAAATTAAGTTATATATATATATATATATATCTTTTCTATTTCAAGTGCTCCTGAATGAATAATAAGTTTTTAGTATCTATTGTGAGTATTTTGTTTCGATAAAAGAAAAGAAAAAGACAAAATTAAAAGATATTACGTTTGGGAATACTTGAAAACGAGCGAAGCTTGCCTACTAATTCGGGACAGCGTTAGAAAGTTATCCTTAAATAAAGAAAACAGCAACAAAATAACGAAAAATATATATCTATTGTCTACATTATTTTTCCTTTTCCAATCATTTTATGTTTAAGAATAAAAAATAATTTTTCATATTTTTAAAATATAAATTATATATATTCGACAAAGAGATGAAATTTTTTAACATAATACAACAATCTTTGGCAACTGCATGGAAGATTATTGATAGACAAAATAGTTTCGCCGAATGATTTTTTAAATATACGCGCCATAGTGACAAAAGGGTTAGTAATTTGATGACGTAGCAGTTCTATTAAAGTTTATGTTGGCATGTTTGACACGTCGAATTAAACGTAAACATGAACGTTCAGTTATTGGTAGGTTCTGTTAAATAACATTGAAATTTTGTTTGCATTCGTTATATAAAAACTAGTTTCATTGCTATTTAGTTTCGGTAATAGTGTCGTCTTGTTCAATCGAAATCATGAATCGGGCTGGTTCGTCGAAGTCTAGTCAACATAACCTCACTTCAATCCCGTACAGCCTTGTACAGAATGATCTTTACATCTGTGTATGATTATCACATTTGCGTTTATGATTGATTGATTGTTTTGTTTATTTTTTAAACGTTCTTCTTATCACTATTATTATTAATTTTGTTAATAAATAATATTTTTATAACTTTTTTTTAAATTTATAATCTTTTATAATGTTTTAATAGAGATGGGTTTATTAAAATTTCATTTCAAACGTAATTTAATATTGTAATTGTGAATATTAACTAACTAACTTGTTTGTATTTAAACGTATGCATTTTGCCATAGTGAATATATTTCTTTGATAATACGTTTGTATTTAAAAATGATAATTTTAGGAACCGACATTGTATACCGTCAAAGGTATGGCTATACTTGATAACGACGGCAACAGAATCCTTGCTAAATATTACGATAAAAACATATTCCCAACAGCGAAGGAACAGAAAGCATTTGAAAAGAATCTCTTCAATAAAACCCATAGAGCCAATGCAGAGATTATTATGCTTGATGGTTTAACTTGCGTTTATAGGAGTAACGTAGATTTATTTTTCTACGTAATGGGAAGTTCGCATGAAAATGAGGTACATAACAATTTTTATACGTACAATTTTATGTTTTTATATAAAATACGATGACACTAGTATGCAAAATATGTTTCAGTTGATTCTGATGAGTGTTCTCAATTGTTTGTATGATTCCGTGAGTCAAATTCTTAGAAAAAATGTTGAGAAAAGAGCAGTGTTAGACAGCTTAGACATAGTAATGCTAGCGATGGATGAAATTTGTGATGGAGGGTACGTATATAGAAATAAGTACATTTGTGATTTGAGAATGCATCTAAAATCTAAATTTTCTTTAGGATCATTTTAGATGCCGATGCTACTAGTGTCGTTCAAAGGGTCGCATTAAGGACTGATGACATACCACTTGGAGAACAAACAGTTGCACAGGTAATACTCGATTATATGTTTCATTCGTTTAAATAAATTAACAAATGTTAGATATATCTTTGTTAACTGAGAGGATAGAAATATTTCCGATTTCTTTATTTTGTGTTCACGCATCGTTCTTCCTTCTTCGCACAGTCCCTGATTGTAAGTCTACAGTGATTCTTAGGAATAATTGGGCTATTGCATTTTTTCTTTTCAGTACATTTCATCATTTTTTAAATTCCCTTTTTTGTTCTAGGTATTGCAATCGGCAAAGGAGCAGCTAAAGTGGTCATTATTAAAATGAATTCTTTATATATTATAGCAATGTTATTTTTACAGTCATAAAAAAAATTTTATAAATATTATCACAATTGCTGTTGCATATTATAGAAATAATATGTAAATAAATTATCAACTTAGATTCATTTTCCAATTCTCTCAAATTATTTGCACAGTCCACAAAAACAACTAAGCAAGGAGAGTATTATTTTACTTAAATATACTCTTTAACATTGATTATAAAGAAATATTAAATATTCAATATCATTTTTTTATAAACGTGATAAGTCAATAAATCCCATACAAATGCTGAGAAGCATGTTAAATAAAATCGCTTTTAACATTTTGCGAGTATCGGTGGTCCAGGTGGCCAGTGAAAGCAATTAAGTGTATAAATGGTGAAAATTAGCTGCAAGAATTGACTTTGGTTAGATTCAGAAGAAGCACGCTACGTGAATAGATACATGAGCATCAGGGCTATTTAGCACTTTGACACCCTATTTACCACCCCTGCAGAAAAGATAGCTGAATGAACGGTAGGAAAGCCTTTCAGCCCATATGTCAGTATGTAACCGTGCTCCATTGGTGGGCATTTAGTATTAATCACCCTATCGGACGAATGAGATTATTGATTTATTCTGAACAAAACTATTCAAAGTCAAATTGAAATTATTTCAACAATATTGTAATTATCATAATGATAATATAATGATATCAGAGAGTAAAAATAAGAATAGGTTCTTAGACTATACTTTATCATTTTCTATATGCTTAGCAATAGGGATAGGAGAAGTTGTTCGTACCAATAAGGATAGTCTTTTGCAAAATATCAATCTTTATTTTTCCTTACAATTAAATTAAATCTCTTTTTGAATTATATTAAAATATTATATAATCGAAAATTTTCCGAATGGCGATCATATTGTTTTCTCTGAAAATAATCGAAGAACGGAGCAGTAAGCTAGCTATTCGTGTGCCGCCGTATGCCATTATACGAAATAAATGCGAGTTAATTAAAGGGCGAAAGCAATTACTTGCGAATAAATCGCAGCCGTTAATCCGTTATAGCGCAGTCAAGTCTGCACTTCTCTTTTCGTATCGTATCACCTATCTAACCCCAAACTACCCTCTTTCGTCTCATCTCACTGGCCGTTGGCACCTATACAAGGAAGGGGATTTGCGAGAACGATACCGATCCTATGTTATGTTCGCATAATTGCCTTTGAGCATCGCCACCTGCGACCTCGTTGAGGCTTCCTTTCTTCTATCTTTTCTTAACTTTATCTTTACTTCTCCGGCAATTAAATGTAATGAAATAATATTTTATTGTAGAATTTAATATATAATTAAATCTCGTTCGATTCACAAAATTTTTGAATAAACGACGTATTTATATTTATTTACTCATTTACAATTTTCTTCATTATCAATGACTTTTTAAATTCATTCTTTTTCTTACTCTTTTTTACCATCAGAGGATAAGTGTGTACTGTTAAACTTGCTCGATAAAGATATATGTTAAGTGACAATCGTACAGGTTGCGCTCGGATTAAATCTATGTACCTGCAGATGATAAAGATGATTTCTATTTAAAAAAAAATAAAAGCTATTCATAACATTTTGTTACAAGTGAGTGTATGAATGAATGCAGGTAGTTTTTTAACATTATTTATATGTGTTGTTAATAACAGTTATGCTAAACATTATGGTAATAAAGAAAAGTAGGATTCAGAAATTCAATAAGATAAGTCCATGTAAGTTTATATGTCAAGTAAAATATTCTGATAAATGATAAAGTAAATATCACTGTACAAATTCGTATAACCTTTATTTAATTGGGTTTCACGTCATATCACGTCACATCCTACAATAATTTTCTATTAGTAAGTGCAGTATTATTATCTTTTACAAACGTTAATTGTTTCTAATCGTACTAATTTAGATTTATCGAAAATATAAGATTGAAATTGGATTAAATTTGTTGAAGTATTTAAATAATTACGTTTAATTCTGATTTCCTTTATTATAATATGTTTATAATATATTTTATTTATTTTATAGGTGAGCTACATAAGAAGTGTGAATTTTAACATGTCTCTTGCAATGGGTTACAATTTCTTATTATCTCCTAAAAGCATATTAATTAAAACCATGCATAGACAAGTTCATCATTCGTAAGTAAATTGTTTACAATTAATTTTTTAATTTGCGATTATTTTTATTTATAATTACTACGTATTTATAGTTGTAAAGTTCTAGTAGTCGGTGGCGGTACTGGTGGTTGTACGATGGCAGCAAAATTTGCAAGAAAATTAAGAGGATTATCCAACGGAGTTATAGTAGTTGAACCAAGCGAGGTAAAAATGATGTTCACTAAATTTGATTTTTTTATGCAGTTTATTTAATATCCATTAATTTTTATTGTTGTATAATTATTCCATAGGTTCATTATTATCAACCACTTTTTACTTTAATCGGTTGTGGTATTGGTTCTTACAATTACTCAAAGAAACCGATGAAGAGCGTGCTTCCTAAAAATGCAAAATGGATAAAAGATAGCGTGATTGGTTTTGATCCTGAAAATAATCAAATTACTACAAATAATGGTGACACCGTGCAATATGATACTTTAATTGTCGCATTAGGTTTACAAATTAATTGGGATCAAGTAAGCGAATGATTACTTTCATTATTATACATATGTCTTTTTATTTTCTAATATATAATCTGACTTCTATAATATTTTTAATAGTTACCAGGTTTGAAAGATGGTCTTCAAAGTGCAGAATCACAAGTTTGTTCCATTTATGGATCGGACACTGTACCGCATGTATTTAATAAAATTAAAAGGACCAAGGACGGTACAGCTATATTTACATTTCCAAATACTCCTGTCAAATGTCCAGGCGCGCCACAGAAAATTGCTTATCTAGCTGAGGATTACTTTGTAAAAGTATATTGTTATATAATTTTTAAAATTACACGATATGCAGGATATCCTGTAATTGGTGATACAAACGAGTAGAGGGTGATTCTACGTGACTAAAACTAAATCAAAAATGTGAAATAAAATACGTAATTCTAACAAATGCATTTGTTCGTTTGTTTTAGACAAATGTACGTAAAGACGTAGGAGTGATTTATCATACATCCTTACCTGTTATTTTCGGTGTCAAAAAATATGCGGATGCCCTTTGGAAGATTTGCGAAAAAAGAAACATTAATGTTAAAACGAGATCAAATCTTGTAAAAATAGACATTGATAAACGAGAAGCGACATTCGAGAATTTAGATGCTCCAGGTGAAACTTCTACAATGAAAGTGAGTACTTTCAATATTATTACGTACAATATTTCATATAATTTATATATATATATAAATTATTAAAATTTATGTTTAGTACTCGTTGTTACATGTATGCCCTCCGATGGGACCACCAGATGTTTTGAAAAAACATCCTAAATTGACAGATAAGACTGGATTTTTGTCAGTTGATCCTGGTACATTGAAACATACTAAGTATTCTAATATCTTTGGAATAGGCGATTGTTGTAATACACCGAACTCCAAAACTATGGCAGCTGTAGGTAATGAATTAATAATTATGTCATTATTTGGCAGATAAGAAATTATTATGCTGGAAATTTATTTATCTTATTATTTACAGCTGCGCAAGCAAAAGTTCTTTACAAAAATATCATTGATGACTTAGATGGTAAGCCAATGGTAATGAAATATACAGGATACGCTTCCTGTCCATTGGTTACTGGACATGGAAAATGTATTATGGCTGAATTCGACTACAAATTGCAACCCATGGAAACGTTTCCTGTAGATCAATCCAAGGAATTATATTTCATGTTTTTACTGAAAAAATATTTCTTCCCGTTTCTATATTGGAATCTTATGCTGAAGTTTGTAATTTTTAGTTTAAGTAGCTCTCTCAGATTAATTTAAGAAAACAGAAACTTATTTTTTGTAATTATTTTATATATTTTAGAGGTTGGTGGAACGGTCCTGAATTTTTTCGAAAATATATAAGTTTTATGAAATCTAAGGGAACATAAAATTCAAGGAAGAATAAAAGGTATTTATATTTCCATTTTGAGAGTATGTTAATATTTTATGAAATATTTTATGTTGTTATTGCATAAATATAGATCACGTACATTAGATTACGTATGTTAATGCAAATAATAATCCACAGCATATATATTTTATCTGTATTTTACAAAGCAATGTTTTTGTTCTTCGTAAATCTATATTAAATATTCTATCTATTTAAACATAAGAAAATGATGATTACAGGTGATCGTTATTAAATTAAATGTTTAACATATTTCTCTAATGCTATTTTTACAATCATAAAAATTTTATATAAATGTTATTACAATGTTGTTGCATACTAAAAAACCAATCATAAATAAATAATCAAATCAACGTGGATCCAATTTTCAAGTTCTACGCATAATCCATATTCTAAAGCTGGAGTAAAAAGGGGAGTATTATTTTACTTACGTATACTTCAACATTTGCAATTGAATATTTTAATCTCTCCTGATAAAAAAAAGAACATTTTTCACGACGATTAAACGACTTTTATATCATCTAAATAAATCTATAATTTCCCTTGGCATTGATGAATGTCATCTCTCGATGAGAGATTTAAAAAAAATCCATACCAAATAGATAAAGAATATCATACTTTGAATAATCCCATACTCCAGTAGGATAATTCGCATAATTCAGATACCGCTGTAAAGCGTCGAGAGAGTCTAAAAAAAACGAATTTTTCCGTAATCTCGAGGGAAATCTAAAGATTGATGCAAGGATGGCAGGAAGGGGAGGGGGAGGAAGGAGGAAGTAGGAGGAGAAGTCGCACGTATAACAGTGGAAGGTTTTTCGCCGAGAACCTGAAGGACATTGGCCGGTTATTTGGAGTCATGTGACAAGGCTGGTGTCGATTCTATCGTACCCGTTGGTTACTCTTTCATCGAATTCTTCCACGCTGGGAATTTTAGATTTGATTACGGAACACAACACGGTGGCCTCTCCAACATTCAGTCCAACTCCCCCCTCCCTCCCCCGTCCCCGCCACTCACCCAGTCTCCTGTTTTTTCCCTCTCTTTTCTCCTCTTCGTCTTCCTCCTCCGTTTACCGAGTAAACTCTCGACAATCTCTCGTTTTCACCCCCTTCCTTTTACCACCCCTACCACCTATTCCGACTATCAGAGGAACGCGATACACAAACACAAGCATCAGCACCGGCACCCTTTTGCCATCGAGGATGAAAAACTCTTGTTGTACGATCGCGACGGAATTATTGGCCGGCCGAGCTTATTTATGGCATTCATTTTCCTCGAGATTGCAAGAGGAGAGGAGAGGAGGAGAGCGGTGTGCGTGTCGCGATGCGCGCGCGCGCGCACGGGCATACCTCGTCTCCACCCATTGTTCACTCTCTCTTTTTTTTTTTGTATTCCCTTTTTTTCTTTTTTTTTTACCGAACGGTCCATCGATGCCACGATTTACGATCTTGTCACCTGAGAGACGAACAGGACGTTGATAACGACGATATTCTGACACGAGGGGGTTGGTTCGTTGGTTGCTTGGTTATTCGATCTTCGTTCTTTCTCATCACCTTTACGAAAAAAAATACTACGTCTCGTTAATTTGAAATTTACTTTTTCTAACTTTTTCAGATATAAATGTATTTAGAGATGAATGCATGGATTAATGACAAATAGGATTTTATCTTATTTATCTAAGGAGAACGAGATAAAATAAAGAATAATGTTTAGAAATGTTCGCAGTTTTGCATGGTCTTGGAATGTAACGGATATCCCTTCTTCACACGCGGATGGAAAATCTCACCCTCGGACGGTATCGTTCTCGTAAATCAATAAACACTTCGTACATACGTTGTTGGAAAGCCTGTAAAATGGAATCGGTTCTAACATCTTGCGGCTAGCAGTGGTCCAGGTGGCTGGCGAAAGCAATTAAACGTATAAACGGTGGAAATTAGCCGCAAGAATTGGCCTCGGTTAGATTCAGGAGAAGCAGGAATTCACATGAATGGATATGGGAGCATCAGGGCCATTTAACACGATGACACCCTATTTACCACCCCCGCAGAAAAGACGACTGGATGAACGATAGGAAAGCCTTCCAGCACATATGTCAGCACGTGACCCGTGCTCCGTTGGTGGGCGTTTAGTATTAATCGTCGTACCTACCCCTTAGAACGAGATCATTCATTTATCCTCGCAAACTAAACTTCTTATTCAAAGCCAAATCAACGTTATTTCATTTGACTCTTTGAAATATCGTAGATTATTCTCTCACCATTTACCGAATTTTCTTTTGATAGAATTTTTAGAAAGTTAGTAGATATACCTTTTCGTGAATAAATCCAGGAAAAAAATGTTTATTGGAAGCCGAAAGATATTCGGCTACCTTTGAAGAATAGAAATGTTCAGTAGCCGATTAGAAAATTTATTTTCGAATAATAAGTGTCCTTGGTCCGTCAAAAATTTAAGTTATGTCCCTTTATAGTTATCTTTGAATTTTTTTCTCTCTAAAAATCAGTCATGGTCTTAAAACTTTAACGAAAAACCATCTATGTTCGGAAGGAATCTCTATTTGTCAGTATCTCCTCTTTTAATATCGACAAAGTCTCTTCTGTTGGTCAGGTTTCCCCTTTGGATTCCGATATAAAAAAAAAAAAACTTACGTCGGACTTTTTTTTTGACTATTAGAAATAAGAAGAATAGAATTTTGGTAGTGTTTGAGGTAACTGTTTAAGTTTTCTGTATTGTCTTTTTTCTATAGATTGCGTAAACTCAGCATGTTCCTTACCACATGGGTCGTACGTGTTCTATTCAGACGTATTTTTTTGTGCCACTGTACATTTTTGCCATTCATTCTCTTCTTCTTCTTCATCTTTTTCTTCTTCTTCATTCAGATTCGACTGGTGCGGTCCAAACAGGAAGAAACCGGAAATAAATCAAACGGGAAACGTGTTGGACATTTTACGAGATAAATTTTTTTCCTCTTTTTTTTGTATTATTTTTCTTCTAGAAATATGAAAATTTAATAACGAATTACGAATAAAGAAAAGAAGTTGTTCGTATTGTTAATATTTCTAAATGTTTCTTCTCAATTCGATAATTTTGTTCTTGTTTTAACGTAAAGATCTTTGCTCGAGTATAGTAGCGCGAGGGAAGATAATTTTTCAGACGATTCAGATCTGAGAAAATCAGTTTATCTTAAAGTGTCATCCGCAATCTTTGTTGGCAAATAGTGGAACATAAATTACAAAAAAGGAATGTCTTAATGTTGGCCCTATTCTTGCTACTATATTGTCCTCAGGGTATTCATGGATTAGATACGACCCCAGGATACATCATGCTACCTAAAACTTCCGTTCTTTTTTTTTTTTTTTATCCGAAGAATGGCTAATGTATTCTCTCTTTTTACAAATAATACTTTCTCATGTCAGAGTTTCTTAATATCATATCTATACCCATAGTCTCGAGCATGATTATGGTTTCTTTTTTTTTTTTCTCTCCTTCCATCACATTTTCTTTTATTTTTGTCCGATAATCGAGAATATTCGAAATAATATTAGTTTCGTTTATTTTCCAAAAGATAATTTTGTCAACTCGAAGTTATTCGTAATTTAATCAAATCAGATTAAATTCTACGAAACACATATTTCACTATTTCTAGGACAGACAATTACGTAAGCTATTTTCTCAACACAATCAAACAATATCAAAACGTGAATTGATTTATTCGATGATTTCTCGAGATATATAAGTCAGAATAGAGATCGGGCAAATTTAAGTGTAGCGACGGAATAGTACAATCTTTATCTTTCGATAAAAGGATACACGAAGGGTAGTAGTAGTAGGAGAGGGAGAAAGAGAGAGAGAGAAAGAGAGAGAGAGAGAAAGCTTAGCTTTTCGTAGTAGAACTGTAATAGTCAAAATGGCGGCAGTGTAGTCTTATCGCCTTTTCTCGAACATACGAACCAACCCAATTGCATTGGGTGGCAGCCAATACGGCGGCTCTCGTCAGCGATATCATCGGTCTCTCCTCCCGACCCTTTTCCACCTTAACATTCTGCGAGAAATTTTTCTCCCTTTATTCTCTTAAACCGATTCCACAAAATTTATCTTACAAGTAAAACCTTACTTGTTGTCTTATCAATCTAAATGGATAGCTTTTTTCAAACTGTGATTTATTAATGACAATTTGTTTAATCGATCACGATATTAATTTAATGATAAACGTTATAAGAGAAGACACGATAAATAAATCAATATTTTTTTTCTAATCGATTTTTTAATCCCTGATCATCATCCTCAAAATATTCTTCTCATAAAAAGAAGGACATTTTAAGATTGAGTTAATCTCTTTTTTTTTTTTTTTGAAAATAAATTCTATACGAATAGAAAAGATATGACAAAAGGTATATATATATATATATATATATATATATATATATACTCTCACAGTGTAGCTGAAATGAGATAGTACTCTCTCCTTATTTATGGCGAAGTACGATAATAACGCGGATGATGGGACTCCCCGTCGTTGAGCGAGTATATCGGACGTAACCATGGCGACCACGCAGAGGCCATATTGGTCCTTCGCCAGATATCGATAATAGGAAAGATAAGGGGTTAGTCTTGGGGGTACTCGGACCATACTTTATCGTTTACTAAATGCTTACCAATAGGAATTGGAGAACATTTTTCCGTATCAGAAATTAGTATAATATAGTCTTTTGCAAAATACCGATCTTTAGTTTTTATGCTACGATTATTATGGGGTGAATCAAATGTTCGTGCGTTCGATTGTTTCGAAAAATACTTTACTTTGTGAAAAATATTAATTAATTAAAAAAAAAAAAAGACCAAAACAATGCACGTACCTATTTTGATTAACCCTAATAGATGAAATTTATCTTCGAAGAATGTCAGGATTCCGAAAAAAAAAAAAAACATTTTAATCGAGAATATTTTGTAAGTTAAACTATTGTTTTCCGTCCGTCCGTGTGCCGCCGTACGCCATTACACGAAATAAATGTGAGTTAATTAAAGGGCGGAAGCAATTACTTGCGAATAAATCGTAGCCGTTAATCCGTTATAGGGCAGTCAAGTCTGCACTTCTCTCTTGGTATCGTATCACCTAGTCAACCCCAAACTACCCTCTTTTGCCTCATCTCACTGTCCGTCGGCACGTACACGAGGAAGGAGGGGATTTGCGAGAACGACTCCTATCCCATGCTACGTTCGCATAATTGGCTTTGAGCGTTGCCACCTGCGACCTCAACGAAACCTCCTCCTCATCGTCCCACCCCCGCCCCCCCATCCCCCTCCGCCACCCATCTCTTAACGCCTATTCTACATTTTCTTAACTTTATACTTTGCTTCCAAGATACTTTCATTACTTGTTCTTCTTTTTTTTTTTTTTTCTTATCATTTAATTAACGTTATATAATATTATTGTTGTCTCGTTAAGAAAAAGATCCTTTTTTTTTGGTATATATTTTATATATATATGTATATGTTATTTTTCTCTCATACGTTTATCATAATAATATTTCAAGTAACTTAAGGAAATATATATATATATATTGTATATATTTTATCTCTGGTAAGAGGTATTATATAACTAATTATTCAAGGTTATACAAATTTGATGAAATTACGTGGTTTTCACCTTTTACACGATCATGAAACATTAAACTATTTTACGATGTTTACATTGAATATTCTATCCCCTAGAGTAACTTCCTTTTAAGTTAATAATTATCGCCGTTAAAGAATTAATATGGTTTCAACGGGTTATTATTATTATGATAGGAATTGTGTCGGACAATAATTGACTGTTATTTATTTCAATTTGATTTTCTTTCAAAAAGAAAATTGAATATAATAACGTTGTTTAGAATAACATTTTTCTTATAATAGTACCTTTTAAGTATAACAAATATCCTAGGATACGGTGTGACTATAGTTCCATTTCAATAGGACCGATATATTGATCCTTTTCTTGTCCCTTTCTTTAAACTATCGTTTTTCGTTTACAAACTATTTTCGAAAAACATATCTTTTCTCGAAACTCTTCATTTTCATTCTTCAACGTGTCAAGGTTGTTTGGTCTCATTTAAATACAACTCTTTAGAGAGCTGAATGTAAATGATTGAAAACGTTAAAAGGATAAACTTATCCTTGACCTAAAGAAAGTCGTCCACCTATAAACTTCGTCGTACAGGCACACGAAACATAAATTTTTCCGAAATATACTGCATTTTATGAATGCAAGCTTTTCACACATACACGGAGAATAAAATAAGGAAAATATAGTTAACCCTGTCGAGATAAGATATAAATATTAGTGGCATCACACATACACACACACACAGTGTCGCTTAGATACTACTACAGCTACAGAAATACGTATCTATGTGAAATTTTAATTCGCGTTTTTTCGCAAACTGCTGAATATAATATACGCAATGTTTAAAAGCATAATAAATGTTTCTAATGGACTATTACAAGTGTGTAAAATTTAAAAAAAATTGAAGGGGGTTCGATGAAACCGTGGCCCTTATTAGTTTCAGTAAACCTTTCTCCTTTTCTCTTCTTCTCATAGATTTCATCTTTTAAGATTTGAATGCATTATTGATCGATTGTGTTGGACAATGTTAATTAAAAATAAATAAGTATCGTAGGAAAATTGGACATTAAAAAGAACTAGAACTTAGTTTAGATTAATTGGACGTTTCGTCCCTTTATTGGGACTTCTTCGGCAATTGGAAATTTTATTCTTTTTTGTTATTTAATTCACAATATTAAAATAAGAAAAAAAATCAAATAATAATAATAATAATTCACAATATTAAAATAACAAAAAAAATAAAATTTCCAATTGCTGAAGAAGTCCCAATAAAGGGACGAAACGTTCAATTAATCAAAACTAAGTTCTAGTTCTTTTTAATCTCCAATTTCCCTACTATACTTATTTATTAATAATTTTATTTTTATGGACGAGAGAAAAATAACTAATTGGTTAATTACAAATTTGGATATTAATAATTATACATACTTTTTAAATAATTTCATTTTGAAATTTTCAATACAACCAATAGGAGAAACTTACTATTAAATTTTTGCATTTAACATTGAATCTGAACCGAGTTATTATTATTTAACGTTGAAATTTCTTATATTAATCGTTCGTGTGTGTAATAAAATCATCGAATAGTATTCGTTTACAATGATTTCAAAAAATCGACTATTATGATACCTTCACGGGGTTTACCCTTAGAAAACTTTTCTTAACAGGGTAAATGATACCTTTAATTATGTTTCGTTAAATAGACAAATATTCAAGATTGATAAATAGGGGTTGAAATATTTAGAAGGATT